GCTGTATGTGTCCCGTCATTCCCATCCTATTCCAAAGGCCATGCTGTCAGAGATGGGTGTGTTTGTGGATGAAACAAGCTCATGGAAAAACCACAGTCTCATTGCTGAGAGTCAAGAGTATGATATGATATAGTACCAAAAGTCTGGCTTTACTAAGGCTCACAAAGTAACATCATTTAGTTAGGTGTGTTGATGGCATTTATATAACCAAACGCTTTATCAGTGACGAATTACGTTATTTAATCTCTACTAAAGAAGACTAAAGAAGTGCAGCTCAGCTAGAGAAATTGTTCATATTAGGTCATTTTCAGTTTATGTTTCAGTTTAATCTCGATGTAACTTGCAAATGCAAAATCTACAGTTTCTATATGCTGATTAGCAATTACAAATGCAGGACATCGGAAATCAACTCAAATCATCACCATAATAGCAAGAAGCATATTCAAATTACAGCAATACATTTCAGTCGTCTGTTAGAAAAGACAGTTTTGCTGGTTTATAAAACTGTACTTACATTTTTGTGTCTAATAGTTGTTAGGATGTTAGTCAGTTGTTATCAGGACAGCAAATCATATGCAGATCACCTAAAAATTTCTTCATGAGTGTGAAACTTGAGCTTTTCTTATAACTGTACTTATGCCTTATTGCATTGTAGAGTTAATATATATTGCATTTAATTCATAGCATTTTATTATATGTATACAAGCATTTACATTTATAACATGTCTTAGTGTGTTTTATGCATTTTAATCATCATAATATTGTATATTTTACCCCAAATAAATGCAAAATATATGAACTGTTCTTGTATTTGTTGCTTCACTGTATTACTTTTCGTTTTGATTCAAGTGTTTGTGCTCTGCTTGTCTTAGGTAATGTTGCCTGACATGAGAAGGGAAGTGGTAAAAAGCTTCCTGTGCACGGATGAGGTTTCACTGAGTCTATTAAAGACAACAATGTGTGCAAGTAAAGTTGAATCTTTTGTCTCACAAGTTTCCATTTAACATCATTTGATTAAATAATATGTTGGATTACAACAGTAACATCACGATTTTAATCTTTATTTTAAAACAGAGACACATTTCGTGCACTTTCCATCTATTTATGTTCATCAATCACCACCAATATTTTCAGCACTGACAGAATTGAACTGGTGGGGTACAGCAGGTTTTTGGACAAACAAGACAAACAGACAAGAGTAACAGATGTCCACTTACAGAGAAAGACAAGGGGGGTGAAGAAAAACAGAGGACAAATGGACAACGCAACAGAACAAAGTCGAGTAAAACACATAAAATAAAAGCTTTAGAAGCTCATTACACTGAACACATTATGAAAATGATCCACTTGCAGAGGTCCAGGTCATTTGAATTAGCCTGCTTAAAGACAGAGACAAAGATGGTGGGGGAGGAAGACAAAGACACTGAATCAGGAAAAGACCAGACCACAACAAAACATGTGTAGTCACAAAGAAATCCCACAATACACGACAAAAAAAGTCTATCTTAATGAATCATCTAAACAAAAATTATCTACAACTACCCACAGATGTGTTCTTTTACATAAAACCACAGAAGACCCTGCATGTTATTGACAGTCACGTCCTCTTTTAACTGGAACCTCTTGCATCAGTTGTACAGCTTCCTTCATTCTCACCTTTGTATCCGTTACCAAGGGCACCGTTCACGCCGCCATATTTGCCGGTTTGTTCTCCTGTGAAAGGATAAAGCCAATTTCAGAACGACAAAGCAGCAACAAAGAGCCATTTGACAGCTACGTTAAAACTTGCAAAAAAAGGTTTTTGATCTGCATTAAGAGGACTCAGCCACCTCGCTCCATACCCTTAAGTGGAAAATAATCTATAATGCATGCAGCTGTACTTTTACTGTGCAAGCAGTTTTAGTAAAAGTACATGTTCAGAGCAAGTAGAAAGAACAATCATGAGTGCAGAGTTCATTTTACAACAAACCATACAATAAATCAATATGGAAGCTGTTTTGTTGCACAGAAAATGTGTTGTAAACAGTCATATTGCGCAAAGAAGACATGACTAATGTGTTCGCAAGTGTGTGGAAGCTGGTCACGAAGGAGGAAGTTTTCTCTCTTACCCAAAGCATCCTGAGTAGCTCCTAGCTGGGCACCATAACCTTAACAAGCACATGCAACAGAATTACACTCTGAAGATGCGAACAATAAACAAATGTGCAAAATAATATTCAATAGTTGGGTCTTCAGGTGTAGCTGGGGACATCCAGAGGATACATTTAGAAAAACTTTAGCTTTGCAAGGCATACCCAGGCTAAAAGTATTGGTGTAATAAATATGTATCACTGTCATGGAACTAAACTAAATGAAACTAAGCTGACTCTTGACACACTAGTGTCATACAATTGCTCTGTAGTAAAATATTTGCCAAGGTGAAGGCCTATCTGCCTCCCAAAGCTATCCATGCATTTGTTATAAATTGGCTGAACTTTTGTAAAGTTGGTACAAAATGCAAGCTGCTTGTATTTGAAGCATTAACATTAGTACAGGCCTCTCTCCACTGGCTTCCTGTCTATTTTAGCATTGATGATAAGACATTATTGGGTTTTAGAACTTTAAGATTTTTACAACCCAGTTAGAGCACTGAGGTTGACCAACCAGATGCTCTTGGATGTTCCAAGACATAAACACAAAAATAGTAGTGATGGAGCCTTTGCAGTTGCTGCTCCCATCATCCTGACTTAATTTTTTACAGTGTTGTATCCTTTATTTACTGTGATTTTATTCAGATTTGTCTGGGATGTTATTTATAACTGTACATCACTTTGGTTTAACCGCTAATGTTTTAGATCTGCTAGATATATATACATTTGACAAGATGCACTGGTGTGACAGAAGACATCCAGTGGGGGGTTTTTAGATTTATGTGACATGATGTGTGTGTGTGTTTTTTTTTAGGTGGGAGGATGTGTAAATTCACCTGTTTGCTGAGCTCCATATCCTGCACCAGCACCTGAAACAACACAGTACATGTAAATGCTTCAACAGGCTTCAACAATGATGAACCATCACTGACAGAAATATTGCACCATCAAATGTAGCACACTGAGACACAAACACAGAGAACATTCCTGTCGCATCTCAGATCACAAGACACTGTATATCTGCCTTTAATAGTCCTATTTGTTGTCATTACCCCCTGTTTAAGAGTTTTGACCTCATTTGGATTTAACTTGTAAAAGGAAAAAAACAACTAACACCTCCCAGTAACGGTACTTTTTCCATCACACTCAGTTTGTCACACTTTTGCTCACGCACACGGTCTCTCACCATATTTGTTGGCGGTTTTGGCGCCTTCAGCACCAAGGCTGATCTGCTGAGCGCCGTACGGGTAGCCACCATCACCTGAGAGAATGACACATGTTGAGTAGGACTATTTCGCACTTCTGATGTGATGCTGTGATGTTGTGGTAAACTAATAGGGTTTAACCAAATGAGAATGCTGTACATTTTTGTTGTTGCAGTTTTTTTTTTCTTTTAGTACCAACATCCATTTTCACATTGTGCAACATCCCTTGAAACTACATCTCAATTAACAACTCTTGTGTGACTGAAGCACACCGAAGTGACCTGATATAGGAAGATAAAAATGTAGCGGATTCAAACAAGTGAAGTCTGTTAGCTTCATTTACTGGGACCCGTGGATGCTTTCAGACCTATTCAGAATAATAGTTGTGTTTGACAGTGACTCTGCGCGAGTGATTCTATCTGGGCGAGGAAGACACAGGCGGTCCCAGAGATCACAAATCCCCAAGCAGAGCCTGAGATCTACGACGTTTAAATGAACACAGTATGAACAAAGCATGAAACAAATGTATTTTCTTGTTTTTGAAGAGGAAGAAGGTGGCTGGGTATAAGGGGAGGTGATTTTGCAGATCTGTAGAGGCTGGTGTGTAAGCAATGTATCAGCATTCGCTTCGAGTTTTCATGTGCAATATTTCAATTTCATGTGCAATGTCTCATTATCATGTGTAATATTGCTTTGCTCAGAATCTATCTATCATTGCCAGTATTACTTCTTACTTTTCTATTCTAGTCTCGCTTTAGCTTCCCTTTTTTTCAGTAATTCTGTTATCGGCGCAATATCTGGCACTAGAATTTTCTTTGGCATAATAAGTTCTTCTATTTGATCTTTTGTGGTCTGCACAGAGCAAGCAGATTGAATAAACACTGTCTCATTTATAAAGTGGGCTAACTGCATGGGACGGACAGGAGCTTTTAACAACTGGACAGAAAAGGATTTCTATCCATAAATTGTGTATGAAAGACAGGCATAGTCACAATGATGTCACACGTTGGCTTGTGAGGAATCTTTTTAAAGTGCTGAGTTTTGGAATTTTAGCCATTGCCAAGTTTTTTTTTTAAACCAGATGTGACAAATGTTGACTCATTGCATGTCCTTTATGTCAAAGGAAAAACATTTATTGAGTCAGCAAATCAAGTTAGAAGTAGGCTCCTGATTTCGTAGACTTCCATATTATTAGACTTCTATTTTATAACCAGAGGAGTTGATTAAACCTGCTGGCTGGTAGAAGAATACAGGTTTCAGGCACTTGTGCACTGACTTCACTTTTAAGACCCAGAGTCTACGTCTATCTTTTATATACAGTCTGTTCTTGTGACTAGAGCTGACTGCTCGAACTACTGGAGAGCTCCATTTCTATGCTAATACCATGATCCCTCACCACAGGCAAATGAGACACTGGGGTTGAGTCCAATTTTTTTTGTTTAGCTCATAGTCAGTTCGACTTTATCACAGAGACTTAAGCAGTAATTAAACTTGACTAAGTAGTACTGTTGCGGTAACTACCAGCACCTTCAAACTTCGATATTAGCACTTTATATCTTATTTATTTAGTCGGTAAAAAACACCTGAAGTGTTAAACATCTATTCGCCATTTTATAAAGGGATCTGTGCTGTGTTACAAACTGCTATGATAAAGTGGTGATAGAAATGTGTTCTGTTTTACAGTAATTATGGTTGCAAATCAAGTTGCTAACACATGCAGCTCCCACCTTCCAGTCCGGCAGGAATCACTGGAGCATTACCATAAGGAACCTGAGCAGCTCCTCCTCCTGCAGAAGGAAAAAAAAAGAAGAAACAATTACATGGTCAAACTGACTCATATCTCTTGTTTCTTTCCACCCTTGAACCCGCACAGGTCATCAGCCATTTCTGCTCAGTCCACCAGTTCAAGTGTGACTCAGACGTGGAAAGTCACATCAGCAGAAGCCTGAGTAATAGTGTGACAGAGGGACGGGGTCATGTCAACACTGCTCACCATATTTGCCACCAGTTGCATCCAGGCCTGCACCGAGTGCTCCTGAAAGAAGACGGGAGGGGCTGTTGTGACAAGCTTTCACAGAAAATATACTCAGACTGCGGTCTTATTGTTGAACGGGTGGCTACGTTTCTGTGGTATTTGTATTCTGTATTTGTATTCTGATGGGAACTGTGCAATTGTCGTCATTTGCTTTGTAGTGTTTTCTGTGATATTTATTTATGACGGTGTTTCGCAGCCAAATGAACATATGAACTGTGTCCTTATTGCTGCTCCATCCTTAAATGTCTTACCATATGCCCCCTGGCCCTGTCCAGCGTAGCCTCCTGTACTGAGGGCTGGAAAATAAATCAGAAAAACATATATGTCAGACATTGTTCAATCATTATCTGATTATTAGGAAACCTTTCAATTAAAGCATCTATAGGAGCAAAACGTCAGAAGCCACCAGATTCAACTGGTCAGCTTCTATAAGTGAGAGACAATAGCTACACCCAGTGGATGAAACACCACACTGGTCATGTTAGGCAGTGTTTTTCTTGGTGTTTTTTGAAGCTGTCAAACATCGCAGGTTAAGCATCTACGTGTTAGTGCCATCACCAGTTTCTACCAAGTCCTCAAAATTGTTACCTTCACTCTTCCCTGCTTTGTTCTCAGCACCATCAGCTAAGTCTGCAGGGTAACCAAGCCCTGAAACATAGTTCTAATTAATTATGTCTGCGAGCTAATGACTCTTCAAGTAGACTGAGTTTCCCCCTTTATGTTTTTTTGACGGCACTCACCAGCTCCATAACCGTCAGAGTAACCGTTCCCATAACCTGTTGAGAGAAGGCGCAATATGTTGTTAGATAAAGAGAGACTAAATATTCAGGAGTGTCATGCATGCAAACTAAATACCTGTAGACAAAGCTTTTGCACCAGCATCTCCACCTGTAATAAAAGCATAATAAAAGATAAGCCTATTATAACTGAACATCAACACTCCTGTCAGTGACGGCTTGATACAGAGTGTTTTTGACACCAAAAATAAAGGATGATCCTCTGTCAGATTTTGTTCAATCTGGCCGGTAGAGAAAAAAAAAAAACTTCTCTGGGTTTCCACCTACCAAAGCCGTTGCCTGCCATAGCACCAAGGTATCCTGTTGCTCCCTCACCATAGCCTGTGATAACACACATTCAAAGCAAACTAAGCACACACTGTGTTTGCTTAACAAAAGACATTATTTAACTAAGGTCAAATATAAAACTTGGGCAGCTCTAAAGAGATTAATTTCTTGCACGGACATGTAAAACAGAAAAGAAAAAAAACAAAGAGATATTCACATGAGGACTGAAACAATTTGAGAGTAATCATTTTGTTGTTGTTGTCTTCCAGTTTTTAAAAGCCATATTAATTATTCACCAGAGAGGAAAGGGAGCTTCTGGCGTGACCTTTGGAGCAAGGTGAAGATGACAGAGCTTTTCTTTTCTCTGGTGTGACTCACAAGCAAATTATTGGTTTACAAGGCAAAGCAGGAGTAGCAGCTGATTTTCTGCTGTCTGGCTCTGAGTCCTCGCCTTCATTCATGTTCTGCACAACAAAACTTAAGTGGCAAAAACGAAATCCTAATTTTTTTTTTCAATAAGTATGTTAATGTGGTTTCTGAAAAGCTTCTACATTTGCATAGGATCACTGGGTCTGTTGAAGAGACCCTTAAAGCAATAGTCTGGCATTTCAGGACATACATTTGTTCACTTTCTTGCTGCAAGTTAAATTACAAGACAAATTGTACTCTCAAATTCAACACCCCATGTTGTACCAATTTTCAGCAAATTAATAAAAGTCACACGTCTCCAAAATGCGATTTTCAAATTTTTAACAAAACATACAACAAAGATGGTTCATTTTATGTATAACCCATAGTTTTGGTCCTGCTTAAATGGACTGTTTTAGTGTTTGTAGCTTTAAAAGCAACTGATCTCCTGCTGCCAGCACCCGCTTCAGGAAGAAGAGGGAGCACAACAGCATTGCAGAATTTCCAGACAATCGCTGTTTTTAAATTATATGTGGTTGACCAGTTTGTCAGACGACACTAAAATCAGGATCTTAGCAGTACAGAACCACAGCTTGGAAATGGCTTTGAAGTGATGTCTGGTTACCATGTAGTCTTCATGTGCTGCCTTTTAATCACTATTTTATATCTGTTCTGCTGTCTGACAACAGGAATGGAAAAATATTTAAATAGGAACAGCTTAATTGAGAATTGAGCTGTATTGAAATGCAGTACATGTGAGCACAGAGAGTAGGAGAGAAGCAAATGGCATTGGCCAAATTTAAGTTGCACAGATGCACAACAGGTGACATGAAAAAACAGAAACCCGCCTAGGCTGCCTTGTTTACTGGTTTCAAATGGCTTTTAAAAGCCCATCAACTTTAAAGTTTACCGTCAAAGCTAATGGTTAGCCATATTAGCCGCACAACACATTAACACTAATGATCTTCTAAATGTTGTAGGGACATTAATAAAAATAATCCACTGGATTTTCAGTTCCTCAGATGCTGGGAGTGCATGAAGACTCTTGTGCTCACTCTTACAGCTAACAGAACATTTAGTGAGCTTTGCTCGTGGCCGAGATGTTTTACATTTAGCAGAAGCAGCTCTAGACAGCAAACAAAGTGAAATGGCAGGGTTATAAAAAGTTTGAGTTTGATGACTATTGGCTCCTCGGCTGGAATGTAGCGGCTCTGTGAAGTTCTTAATAGTGTGTAAGGCTGGCAGGCTACCTAGCTGTGAATTGAGTAATGGCAAAAGTAAATGTCCTCATATCTTAACAGCTTTTATTTTACACCTCTATGTTTATAAGAATCACAAAAAATAGATTTTCATTAAATGGGACCGTTACCTATGAAGGGACAGCCGACAGCCAGCAGCCAGTTAACTTAGCAACTGGAAACTGGAAACAGCAAACACTCCAAGAATGTGAAAAAGCATACTACACAAAATGTCAAACTACCCCTTGAAGAATCCAACACTGAGGGGGAAACAGCTGAAGAACATGAGTTTTTGCACAGCCTCACTATCTGACATCCCTGCAAAACCTCCGGGATATCTACTCTGTCCAAATACAGCAGCAGCTAAATTTTGAGATTTATTTTGCTAGAGAAATTAGAACACAAATCCTCATTCTCATCAAGAAAGAAAGAAAGACTAATGAAGGAAAATGTACATTCTTACCTCCAAGTTTGCCTGCTGCACCACCCAGGTATGCTCCCTGTCCCAAACCTGTGGGCAGAATATTAGAAATCTTTACCACAGGTAGAGTAAATCTACATCAGTATCTCAGTCTGCTGAAGAGGACTGTTCATGTGTTAGGTGTCATTTCCAGCATTACCTGGTCCATAGCCTCCAGCACCCAGGCTTGCCCCCAGATAGTTTCCTGGTCCACCAATGTAACCTGTCGAGAAGGTGAACAGAAGCTCAGCAAAATCAAATGTTTTGTTTGTTTGTTTTCTATTACATATAACTCTTCAAACACAGTGTTTGTTCAGTGCAGATTTAAATAAAGTGTGATTTTAAAATTAACAGAACATTTCCAGCTTTACTTTAAAAAGCTGATTATGACAAATCGGAAAGATTTTTTTAAAAAACCCACACATTTAGTTGGGAAGATCGTGACAAGCCTCTTTTTTCAATCGTTTCATTTTTACAGAAGATGTGGTTGCTGCAGATGGAACACATGGAACTGACACCAGAGACAATAAATGTCTCCATCTTTGTTAGAACTAGGTGTTATTTTTAGCATCCTCTCCACTGGACAGTAATTTTCCTGGACTGAATTCTAAAAGCCGCAACACCAGATGTTGAGCCATCAAAATACGAGTGTATGACAACCTGAACTATGAGTTAGAGGTAACCCAGACACACACACACACACACACACACACACACACACACACAATGAGATACAGACATATTGTCTATAAAGTGTAGATTTCCTCTTATATCTCTGATTGGAACCTCTTTGTGCACACAGACAGATCAGTGATTAGGAGATCATCAACTGCTTCAAACATGAGCCATACAACATACAGCTTAAGGTATTAGTGAATTTTACAAAATCCACAATGGACAAACACACTAAGGATCATGGAAGTGTGCCGTTATTTCTGCTTTTGTAACTTTGAGCATTTGTAGAGTGAAGCGTCCAAAAGCTGTACCACATATAACAACGATGTTTAACATATACAACACTGGGCAGCAAGCTTGATTATATTCATTGTTAGTTGTGAATCTTAGATATTTACAGTGGTGTGTGTGTGATATATAAATTATGCAATAAAAAAGTTAGAGGCTAAAATTGGTCAGGAAGGTTAGTTCTTTTTTAAGCGTGCTCAGTCCTGTGACGTTAAAGAGGTGGCAGCTTTACATTAGCAAGGACGCACAACGGCAATTTATTATTGACTCACTCTCCAGTCAGAGTTATATTCTCAGGGTCATGACCTTTACAGCAGAAAACTAATTATTGCTCTCATCTAGGGATCCGTCAAGCTTCGACCGCACAATGATTAAGACTTAAATTTCCATCAGTGCAAATGTGAAATTAAACAAGGACCCTATTCAGCGCGCCAAGAAAATCACATCCACACTTCCTATTTAATTATTTCTGGTGCCACGGATCACTACAGCTGCACGGCCAAAGCCTACAGGAAACTCTTTATAAAGGTATTGGAATTAAGATAATCAGACATCAAGAAGTTGTTTACTATTTCTCTCTAGCCATGGTTGTGCTGTTTCCATAGAGGTGTGGGACTTTATATTGCAGTGAAAAATGAACACACGGTGAGGAAAAATGTGACCAGAGACAACATTATTACAGACTCCACTCCAGGAAGTGTTGGTCAAGTTGCTGTTATGTGTGTGAAATGCCAAAGTTTTACATCTCAGCTAACGCGTGTAAACGCTCATGTCACCGCAGGATGACTACTTCGATAGCTCCTAATGCGTCTTGGTTGAATGTACATGGGACAACATATATAGGATGCTTTTAAACTGCCATCAATCTCAGTTAACTTAAAGCAAGGCTAATATTTTAGAAGGTTCACGTAAGATAACATTTGTAGAAACACATTGCAAAAACTACAGCTAAATGCAAAATATGAAATTGCTAAATTAAACAAAGGGAATAAATCTGTATTAGAAAAATTTAAAAGGCAAATGAAAGTAATCGGGAGAAGTAAGAGGACAAGTATAGTGTAGATCTCAACAGTGAACCATTAAAAAAAGCCACCAAAAAAAATCCAAATTTGAAATGTAGAAAAAAAGACATTTAGATGATGAAAAAGACAAAGCTTTGCTCTTACTTGCTGCCTGGTATTTCCTCCCAGCCTGCCCTGGGACATGGAGAGCTTTTGGCTTTTTCACATCATGTTCGGCTTGAGAAAGGCTTTTTGCATCCTGAACATCTGCAGTAAAGCCTTGAGCTTCCTGCCCTGCTCCAGCTGAGACGACGCCTAAACTTTGGGTTCCACTTGCACCAGGGATCAGTGCTCCATAGTGCCCCCCTGCTTGTACTTGAAGGTTTGGAGAACCATGTCTATGGTTTTCTACAGTGACGGTGCCACGGATTCTGAGTCCATTTTTAGCCACCAGTCCTTTGACACCCTGCCTGTCTGCTGCAGAGTATATATTGCTTCTATCCGGCGCTTGCGAAAGAGGGAGCTGATAAGGTTTCTCTCCTTGTGTTTGTGGAGTTATGTGTCCAAGATGTTGACCCTGTTCACCAACATGCGTCTGAGGCAGCAAACTTGGTCTCCTTTGAGTTTCTGAACCCAAAGGCTCAAAGCGATTCTTGCCCAATACACCTGACAAATCAACACGGGAGCCACAGTTTCGGGTTCGCTGATTTTGTTGAATAGATAAATCAGAGGCCAAACCGAGACTTTTGATACCGTCTTTATCTAGATTCAGCTGTCTTCTCACACCTCCAGCTGCCAGTGCTGCTTCATGACTTGTTGCCCCTTTTCTTTTAAATATTGAAGGGTCATTAGTTTCTCCTTGTCCTTGTGAAACAGCCAGACCAAAAATCTCACTCTGTTTATCAAGAGGAGTCTCAAGATTTGGTGACTGAACTATTGGATCGAGGCTTTTGACCTCCCTTCCTGCATGTAATTCAGGAACAGCGGGACCAAGCACACCGCTTCTCCTCATGTCGGGAAACTCAGGTCCAAGCCTTCTGTCTTGTTTTCCGTACAAGTGGCCTAAAGCTCTGCTCTTTTCTCTCTTAGGGTCTTGAACAGCTTGGCCCAGACTGGCCACTTCAGGTCCAACCAAATCTGCTGCAGACACACCTGGCAGAGAAATAGCATCATGCATCCACAACGTCTTTGTTGGGTCAGATCAGATCTGTAGTAGCCAAAGGCAAAAACATCCACTGATCTGTCTGTATTTTGATTCCACTTTACTGATGTGTGTATCACTGCATTCAATGCAATATAACACATTATCAACAGAAGAATCAGTGCTCAAATGGAGGCGATTCAAAACCAAACAGAGACAAGACAAAATCCATTATGGTCTGAAATTAGTCCAGTTTCAAAGGACAGAATCATTACCATAATTCGGACACACACTTGCAATGACATCAACATATAAAACATGCCATGGCAACAAAACATTGCCATCCTGAATTGTTGAAATGCCATAAAACACACCAGAGTCACAGCACAAGACGAAAACACCACCTGACTCAAACCGCATCAGTGTGTAACAAAGACAGCTGATACACAAAGCTTAGGAACACAGCAGGAGGCCACAGTCGACAGTGAAGTGAAAAAGATATTTGCCAGGAGACTGAAAATAATCAAATTTTACAATCGAGTTTCACTAATCATATTTGTTTAAAACAACAAAGATGTTATCATGCATAAAATAGCTGAGTTACTGTGAGCCAGAATGAGAATAATGCAACAGATTACAAATTTCCATGGCTCACAGTAACCTGATGTTCCTGCCAAAAAAGAAATGAAGCTTGTGTGAATAATTTGTTTTTTTTGCCCTGCTAAGTAAAATGTCAGCAAAATTTGAGGTATAGTTCTGCAAAAAATTGATTACAAACTTAATGTAGCAAACTGCACCTTTCACAATTATTAGAGCATCACTTCAATCTTATTACAATCAAGTTGTTAATGTGTGTTTAGTTTGCATAACCTATTTTCCAGAAGCCCCTTCAGCTCCTGCAAACCACAGCACCGAGTTCTCTCCACACATCAGCTCTCATTAACCCGCAGACTGAAGATGAAGCTGGAGGAGCCGGGAGCTCATGCAACATGCAACACAGATGAAACACTGATAGACAAACACAGTCTCGCCTGTGCACACAAAACAAAAACAGCAAAGCCGCTGATAACATTACATTCGATAGATGTGATTTCATGCCAACATGAATTCAACATCGTGGAACACCAGGCGACGTTTTTTTTACAGAGGTTGCAGACAAATACAACACAAAACAAAGACAGCCTGACACACACGATCACCACAGTCGACTGCGGTGAAAATGTTACCCGGTTTTTGTTCCTTTGCCCCCTGTCCAGTGGGATACCCCGGTAAAACTCCTGATGAAAGCAGATAGAAGGACTGTCATTGAGTTCACTGCACATGCTCACTCACAAACCAGCACCAACACTATGGTCAGTGTGTTACAGGTAGTAGCTGTTCTATTCTTGCAAAGACAACAAACTCTGCTAAAGGGAAGGTAAAATAAAGGGCCCTAAATTTAGTAGAAGAGGATAAAAGTGCTTTAATCAAACATGTTGGCCCTATTTCTGCAAAAGTACCCAGCTTTTGTGAAACCTGATGTTAATGCATGACTTTGGATCAAGTGTTTGTGGCAGGAGCAACAACAAGACACCCTGCTACACGCACTTCTGAGCTAAATGAATGAAGGCACCTGAGGTAAGACAGGATTCATCATTTACCTGGTCGGGCTCCAGGATAGCCAATGCCTGTTAAACCTCCATACCCTGGCAAAGAAACAAAAAGCCCAGTTCATCTTTAAATCAGACAAGCACTCTGATTACATCACCACTGTCCTGGGGTTTTCTCTGTTTTACAAGGACACATTATTTATTTGCAAGGATGCGATCTGCCCCATATATCACGTTCACAGACGTGTTGGCAGAGGGCCACTTAGCTGAGATTTATCTAACAAGCACATAGAGGCTCACAGAAGAGGTACATTTACTCTCATTTGGATATGCAACATAAAGAAACTATGGAACAAACTAGATGATTACCTACCTGGCACAGCGCCGAGGCCAGCACCGTAACCTGGAAAGTCACAAAGACAGAGTTAGTTTCCATTTACAAAGATTCCTACAGCGTATAACATCTGTTTATGTAAGATCTGTCTGCATCATGTCACAAACAACAACACATAAACGCATCTTATCGAGGAAACAAAAGGTGTGACATACGTTTCAGTGGTTCAACATGTCTTGTAAATCTGATGTCATTTCAGCCTTAAAGGTTTGCTGCCAAGTTTTGCATGAAGCACAGACTGACAAGATTTCTACTGTGATGTGTGAACACGACTAAAAACAACTCCAGAGTTGCAACAAAGCACATCTGGCTGCTTGAAGCTTCTGAGAACTTGACTCAGCAATATTTCTCCAGAACGTGAAATCATCAGCAACCTTTTTTTTATTGGTGAAACTGTTAGATTCAGGTTGAACACTGTAAAAATGTAGTTCTAAAGTTGAATAAAATTAAGAAAATGTTTAAGCAGATCGGTTTGTTAAATGAAAGCTATACTGTATCATTGCAGATATAATTATAATCTGTCAGAATACAGATTTATCATGTATAATTATATCTAATTATGTATATACTTTAACAATATACATTACATTATTTAATACCATTGTTTTTCATGTGTAAATACTCTACATTAAGCATTAAATGCACCAAAAAATAAAGGCGAGAAAATGCATTTTAATTATAGAAACTAATGATTGCTGTTGTTTGTTTTACAATGAGCTATAAACTGGCAAACTCTTACCAGTTCACCTGCCTAATCAAACAGCGAGGGCCAGATTTGATCACATTTGATTGATGACATAACAAAACAACCCCACAGACGTCGACAGATTTTGATTCAACTGTTGCTAAACTCTTTGGGAGAAGAATGTTTGCCTAACTGCTTACAACAAAAGGCTGACTGAGGAAAAAGAAAGATTTCTGGAGCCTTTTGCCATCAGCCTGCTCGCGGGCAGCTGGCAGCCTTGAGCCTTAGTTTCTAAAACTGTGACCAATGTATGCGGATGGTACTAATTGTTGCAGCTCCTTGAAAAGGCGATTTAATTCTAGTGCTGTTGTCCTAGTGGTTTTTTATTTTTGTTTTTATGGATCCAGCTAACACCTACCATTACTAAACATGCTGATTCATGATCAAAGTCTATGTTACAAAAAAAAAAGAAATCATCAGCTGGATGACATCTTCCTTATCATATCAGTATTACCACGTTTCCCTGCCTGACCCAAGCCCAGTCCCAGTCCATTAGTAAGTCCAGCCCCCATTGCCATCCCTGGTCCCAGACTGGCACCTGCAACCACAAGACAGATGTACAATTGTTTTGATAATTTAATGGATTCATTTTATTAGCCACATACAGCAAATCTACAACAGGAGACAAGAGGAGGATAAAAAAGCAGCAGGCTGTGGTTTTGTCATGTACCATAAGCTCCCTGGGTTCCATATCCACCTTGCTTCAGGCCGCCTCTGCCTCCTAATCCAAGAGCTCTGTAGCCTCCTGTGAAAACAAGAAAAAGCTCCCTTTGTTGTAGAGCAGCAGAGTTCTCCAACAAGTATCATCGCTCAGACTTTAGACGGGCTGTTTATCTGCTGTGAGACTGGATGGAGGAGCTCTGCACCTCAAGAGTCAAGAAATATTCTTTCCACCTTTCACAGGTCAATACTGTTGTAGTCATGAATAAAAAAGAAAAAGAACTGTATGTTTTGTGTGCTGTCCAACAGGTGAGAATATTTTGGATTTCCTGCTCAGCTCTGTGCAGGTTTAGAAATACTACTGCAACCTGTATAACACAAGGGTTTTCTTACCAACACCGAGATGAGCTCCAGGATAGCGTCCAACTGAGATGAACCAAAGGGGAAGAAAAAAAAAAACACAAACATGACTTATTCTGAAGGTAAAGTAATTTAAGATCACGCAGTTGGCAGACAGTAAAACAGAATTGAACGTACTTCCAGTCTTCATTGCTTTGCTGCCATATCGGCTCCCCAGTGCTCCAAGAGCTCCTGCAACTGAGAAGAAAAATGCTGACTTTTATTACATTATGACACATTTTCTCTGTATATGTACCCAAAAAGACATTTCAGACAGAAATATGTATTCATCTAAACATTCATTATCCAGATTAAATGTCACCCTGGAACATCTGTGTGAGACGTACTTATGCATCCACACAACAACAAATCAGTCAGTTAAGGTGGTATCTTCTGCTGCTGTGTGGCACTGTTTAATTTTAATTCTGTCCTGTGCACCATTTAGGGAAAGCATACTAAGAAAAAGACCAACCTCCAGGTTTCACTCCAATGCCGACGCCTGAAGGGAAAAAAAACAGACACAAAAATGAGAAACAGGTACAGACAGTTGAGAAAACTTCTGAATCCAAGAGTGTGACCATTAAAGCTAAAATAAATAAATAAATACTTCATCTTGTTTTTAAGGTAAATTTAAAAAGTTACCAGCAAATCTGTATGACATACCTCTAGCTGGCAGCACTCTCCCCCAGGATACACTCTGAGGTTTCACCCCTGAAACATTGAAAGCATAAATATTCAATAATCACATTAAAGACGGTGGCAGTTTGCTTGTCATAGCTATCAAAAGAGGATAAAAAATGTGAAAAGATTCACCAAAAAAGCCTCATACAGCATAAAACACAAAAACTATACAGTTTGTTACAGTAAAAATGAAATTAAAAAGATAGTAACTACATTTAAGATCCCAAACTGGGAGTCAGTAAACGAGGCAGAGTGCAATTTATATTGTTAAACCTGCATCCACTGCATATAAATGATGAAAAGAATGCAAATAAGAAAGAATGCGTGATGGAAACTAATGTAAAATACACCGAAGAAATGATGTGCAAGTCTGCAAGAAGGTTCGGAGGATAGTATGAATTAAATATTGGTGTAAAGTGGGCATTTAGATTAAAAGCTTTTTGTCTCCCAAACTCATACTCAGTAGTGAAAGCATTCAGATCATTTACTTAAGTTAAAGTACCAATACAGCAGGGAAAAAGTACTCATTACAAATATAAAGCCTGCATAAAAAATCCTATTCAGGAAAAAATGCATAACTACTTGCAGCTAAATGTAGTTGATTAGTATTAAAGATAAAGTCCTGGTTTGGTCCCTCCGACTGATCTGTTATTATATAAGACATGATTAGATTATTAACAGTGAAGCATCAGTGTGTCAGCAGCAGGTTACTGCTGCAGGTGAAGAGAAAGTTCTGATGCACAAATTGCACAAAAACTGTCGTCGGTTTTTGGACTTTTTTTTTTGTTGATAGTCTTAATATTTATTTAAATTAAACCATGTGAGAAGTTTTGATTTAAAAATCTTCATCTTATAAAAGGCTGTCAGATAAATGTGGTGGAGTAGAATGAACAATATTGGCATCTGAAATGTAAATACCCAAGTAAAATACAAGCAACTTAAAATTGCACTTAAGTACAGTACTTGAGTATTTGTATTTGTATTCTACTATTTTATTTCTACAGGAGCTCTTTGGGGTTACACAGTACAGTTTTTAAATTGACATTAACCTGGATTTTAGACAAGGCTTTAGGTTAATTTTACTTTCATGCCAGTACTATCACCTCTTTACTGTCCACAATAAGGTACAAAACTCAGTCAGCTGTTTCAAACTTGTGAGAATTACAGTGCAAAAGTCACTCGAGGATTTCATGAGTACTGTAACGTGACTGGGAGACAGCAGGACAGAGAGACAGACACTCATTGATGAAAATGCAGCGACTGAGTGGCGCCTGTCAGTTCTTCTCACGATCAGTCGTCAGATTTTACCTGCCCCTGCCACCTTCTCATCGCGTCCTTTGAGTCGGTGAAATTAGATAATACGGACCACAGAGACTTGGCACGGCAGCTGGCGTTTGAGCCCAGAGCCCACACAGTCCGGTGCCTTTTTCTGCCCCGATCTCACACACATGATATTTAACAAGTCAGTGAGAGTGAGTCAGTGAAGACACTGATCCATCAGAGCTGACGGTGAAATCACAGTGTGTTTGACCGAGGTGCTGACAGCTCTTTGACTCAATTCACTCGTCAGCCAAAATTTCAAGCAATTTCTCACGAGAGCTTATAGAATTTAGGCAAATTTGTGCAGAATTCCTTTGATAAAGTTAACATATTTTTATTGACTCACACAAATATTCCAGTTTTACAGCAAAATTATCTTTTTTAGCCTCTTCATTTTTTTTCAACAGAATATACACATTTAATTCCCTCACAGAAAGATGAATTATATTGGTGAGAATTACATCAGCCACATCACACAAAGCTAATCTTTATGTAATTATTATGGCGAATATATGATTGCTTTAAAAACAACAATGCAGCAAAGACGATTCTTTGTGTCAGCAATAAACTGAAAAATAATCAGATCCAAATGAAATGTGAAGTAAAAGGTATTATTTGCTTTAGAACACTATTCAAATAAAATAAAATCATCATATGAAAGAAAGTGAAAAACTGGCAGCAAGTGTGGCAGAAAAAACATGTAGAAAAATGATTAGAAATGTAGAAATAAAACAGGAAATATCTGTAAAATAACTGTATTTTTGCAGATTTAAATATTGTAAAAAATAATATCATTTTATGGTCAAGTGTTGTTAAAAAAAACCACACAGGGTGAAAAAAAATTTCAATCCTTAATATACATATACAGCACCCTCCATAGTTATTGGCACCCCTGGTTAAGATGTGTTAAAAGCCTTAAAATAAATTCTTTTTTTTTGTTGCAGAAGCAAACGCTCACACTGAAAATTATAGAAAAATGTAACCTTCAACTCAACTCAAATGAACTGTTGGCAAAAGGGGGTTGTACAAAGTATTAACATCAAGGGTGTTAATAATTGTGGCACACATGATTTGATGTAAAAGAATTATTTTTTAATGTGGGATTTTTTTCACACTGAATAAATGCACTTGAATTAAAGGTTGAATTTTCCTCTTTTTTTTCATTGTGGTCCTATATTATTTAGAAAAAAACTCAAAGGTAAAGAACACATCTTAACCAGGGGCGCCAATAATTATATAGTAAATAATTTTTCTTTCAAAAAAAGGCAAGTGTCTGTTTAATAATGGTATTTTTGGCTTACATAAAAAGAGTAAAATAAACTGTAATTTTATGGTCAAAGGTTGTAAACTCGACTACTATACTATGAACTAATGTTTTGTCTGTGCTTTTGCTTATTATCTGTAATTTAACAAAACAGGAAAAATCTGCACAATAACAGTAGATTGTACAAAATATTACATTTAAAAACTGCTAAGACATTCATTATTCATCTGTATTAAACCTCTGTCTTCACTTTTTGAATCTGGTGAGTTTCTTACCGCCTTGCAGAGTTTGCTGAGCCAACCAGAGAACCAGCGAAGTCTGGAGCAGAGCTCGAACCAGCATGATGGAGGCGACAGCAGCAGTGGGAGAGAACCAACTGATGGACAGACAGACAAATACAAAACTGGGAGTTAATGCTGCACGGCCCCTCGTGTCTTTTATACGATTTCTTCCTCTGATACACTCCCACTGACCAGTCCTGCCCTCTGAACACACACATCGGTCTGACTGGGCGAAGCTAAAAGGCCCATTAGCTGAGAATGTACACAATGAGATTCTGTATTTTCTTCTGCACCTGAGAATTCACACCCTCCCTTAACCAAGAAACAAACTGCACTTGAGCTAATGTTTGAGCTAATGGTTTGATTTAGCATTTTTCTGAAAACAAAAGTCAGAAATGTGTCTATTTAGGAGTGTTGAGCTGGGTATAGATGGAAAAAAAGAGAATAAAAACAACAAAGTGCACTAAAAACAGCCAGAAAAGGAAATTCTTCTCAGTGAAGAGCAAACATTCAGTGAGACTGTCTGACTTTCCTGCATACAAGGAGCCAAGGATCCAGGATTTAAGGAGTTTACTCACATTTTGAAGTAATATGAGTAATGAAATGCATTTACATGTGCTCCTAAGGTTGTGCTGAAAAGGGAAAATAAAGATTTAGGGGATAAAGGAGTATTTAAAGTGCATACTATGCAAATATGTAATGCACAGTTTGGAGAATAAGTCTAAGGATACTGAACATAAGGAAAGAAGATTTTCGTCTGTCTGCTTTGGACTTCTGTCAGTGAAGGCCTTTGCCTGAATGTAGAGCATGCTTCATAATGTGACAACACTGTAAAAACAAACAAACAAACACAAAACAACAAGTATAAAAGCAGTTAGGATGGGATAGTGAATAACTGTCTCATGAAATTACAATAATTTTTCATAATATAGATATTTTTTGGTTTCAATTTACCATCAAATATGTTTTGTTTGTTTTTTTGTTTGTTTGTTTATTAGCATTTAATGAAGGATATTTCAATATGTGAAAACAATTAAATTGTTTGACTGATACATTGATGAAAACACATTTATTCAACGTTTCTGTGAAAGGTTCTGCAACCACACAAGATATTTCTCATTTAACACACAAATCTCTGCAAAATTACAGCACCAATACTTTTTGGGGAGTTAATTTTTCATAATTGCATCACATGCTAATGTATTTATAGAATTTGAATTTAGGAATTTCATGTATTAATATAGAGGACACGGGATCTTTCTGTGTGGAGTTTGCATGTTCTCCCCGGGCAGCGTGGGTTCTCTCTGGGTTCTCCGGCTTCCTCCCACAGTCCAAAAACATGTTGAGGTTAATTGGTGATTCTAAATTGTCTGTAGGTGTGAATGTGAGTGTGCTTGGTTGTCTGTCTCTAAGTGTAGCCCTGTGATAGACTGGTGACCTGTCCAGGGTGTCCCCTGCCTTCACCCTAAGTCAGCTGGGATAGACTCCAGCCCCCCACGACCCTAGTGAGGATTAAGCGGTGTATAGAAAATGGATGGATGGATGTATTAATATAGTAAAATCACAGCACATATACAAATGAAGTTTAACTTTTTACGTGTCTTTTTATGTGAAAAATTGATAATTAGAAATGTAAATTAACGCCACATTCTTGTCATTTTATTAACAATTTTGTGTTTTATTACAATGTAGCTCTGGTTCTTCATCTTCTGCATAACTTTTTAGTGTTTTAATCCAGTAAACCAGCTGATGATGAACCTATTATAGCAGAACACATCCTACAGTGTTTCCTCTATTGATATTCTTGTCAGGATGGAAAAGCAGCCAGCAGCTATATAAAACAAGATTATTTGCAGACTTGGACATAAATTCTCCCTTACAGACATTCTCACTATTGCAAATAAAACCTCCTTGTTTTGCAATAAATTTGCAAATGGTCAGACAGAAAAATTATACAATGGGTTTTTTTTGTCACTAATTAGGTCCTGACAGATGTGTTGAACTCATCTGTCCTCCAAACAAACTCACCTGCGTCAAATACTGTTTAGCAGCAGGCCTGTTTTTCCAGGTTTTTGTTAACAGAGCAAACACTTTACCTCCTAAAATTAAAAAAAAGAGAGGAAAGAATGAGAACATGCAAACAGAATCTGTTTAAGTACTTCAAATATCCTAAGTTTAAAAAAAGACACTGGAGAGTAAATATGACATCATTACTGTATTTGTGTGTGTTGGGAGGGCACCTGAGCCAGGTAACGCACAATTAAGAGAAAAATATGCCGCAATGAGTGTTTAATGTGGAAACACACACTGTACTGCTGTAGAACCTCAATTAAAATGTCATTCTGAGGTGTTTTCAAGTAGTTTTCTATAGAAGAGCATTGTAATCTCACCTAAAGCAGGCTGTCATTGGTCTCAATGAGGCAACACGGTTTGTTCATACAGTATGAAGGGAATCATTGGATTTGCTGTGTTTCTCTCCATCATTATGGCTCAACTGTAAATCAGAGATGGATGGTTTACTACAAACATTTATCATATATTATAAAAATTTAAAATAGAATCTGTAAAATTCTAGGTTGATATACAATAATAGTAATAACAATGATATTAGTAATAATTTTTTTTTTAGATTTATTTTCTTCTGAAATTGACCCACTTTTAGCAGTTTTTTTTTGCAAAATAAAATTTGACGCTGTTTGAAATCATTTCTGAATATGGGTCATTTGAAGCATTAGGAAAAGTGAAGCAGTCATGGAAGAAAAAAAAACATCTTTAAACAAACATTAACCCCCAAAATTTGTCTTGTCAAGTAGCTCTATGTAAATTCTTTGAACATTTTAAAAAATCTGCGTATATTTATTAAACAAATATTGCCTCTCATAAGTTATATTTGGAGAACCATTTTTAAACTCTCTAAAAAGTATTCTAGTCATGAAGCTACATGTTTCAGAAAATACCACTAATTGATGTCTGCATTTTAATTTTTTTGTTAAAAAAATAACAAATTCAGCTCACCCATAATCATAAACTATTCGAGTTACTTGTCCAATATTGCAGATTCTAAATAAATGACATGAGAAAAACCGGTAAGAGGAAATTCACGCTAGTATCTTTAATCGTTGCTGAGTTGTTGTCATGCAAACAAAGCCCCAAATTTTAATATGTCAATAAGGTGCTGATGGTGGGTTGACAGGCAGTTTCTTTTTTAAACTAACTTGAAAGTTTTTGATATATATACAGCAAAAATGTAACAAATATCTTTATACATATCCATATTTTATGCTCTTAAACTTTCAGGCAAATCAGAGATGGTCGAGGTTCTAAAACTGTGGTGATCTGAGATGGAGTGAAGCTGTTGTGTCATGTTGTAAGGTCCTGACCTCACCATGTGAAGTGCCCTGGGATGACTTCTGCTGTGAACTGCATAAATCCAACTGAATTGTTGAGACTGTGCAGAAGAAGCATTTGGCCATGGTGGCATCAGTGCCAAGCTCTAGGATCCTCTTTGTATCCTATAGTGTGGGAGGTCCCTGCTATGATGTCTTAATATAATGTTGAAGTTTACGCACTTGATGCAAACGTCTGACTGGAGAACCACATATGATGACTGAAGCCACTTGGTCTGATGCCACCTGAGGAAAACTGTAGTCAGACCACCACATCGTCTCCCCTGGTGGTACAGCAAAAAGACAATAACAAAACCCACGTCTGACTCAGAACTCCCTCGCCCATGATTCACCTCTAAACATTTATCTGTCTGCATGTTTGAGAGGTCCCTTTAACAAACACACATCCATAAGGAGTGTGTCGATTTTTCAGGAGGAGCTGTCAAAGCTTTGAGAAGAAGCTGGACTTGGCGGATCAGACCATGTTGGCTCGTTTAGCCACACAAGAGTAACATAACATGAGTTTGTGGAGACACATCTGGATGGCAGTTCCACTGTGGTCTGTCATACTACAAACACTGTGTGCCCCTATGTATACACTGTAAAAAAAATAATCTGACAGCAAGTGCCAGAAAAAATACATTAAAAAAACAGTGGAAACAACAATAAAAAACTGTGAAAATGACAGTGAATATCTTTGAAATAATTATATTTTGGCTTATTTTCAATCAGTAAAACTGTGTAATTTTACTGACATTGTAAATTATGAATTGCCATTTTTAAAAATACTGATTTCTTTGTTTTGTTGTTTTACAGTCAACATGTAAATTAACACTTTTTCCAGTGATTTTACTAGATGTTATTTGTAATTTGAAACTTAAAATTAAAACAACAGTTGAAAATGATGCACCATTTTCCAATCCTTATATTACATGATATTCAATCCATATCACAGAAAATATCTGTAAAATATTAAACTTTTTGATGACAAAAGTACAGTAAATACAGTGTCAAGACATTAGACAGACATTTTTGAAGTTGACATTCTTCACAGTTTTGGCATGTTTTTGTAAGATTAGCACGTTAATTATTACAAAACATAAAAAATGTGATCTATATGATATGCATATTTATTTCAAATAATGTCAAATATTTGAAAAAAATAATTTTTGGCTGACTAAATATTGTTTTTAAAAAATAGCATAATTTTAATGTCAAACCGTATAAAAGGTTTGTCAATTACCATTTGTAGAAATACACATTTTTGATGATGACACTATTTACAGTTTTGGCCTGTTTTTGTTTTTTTTTTATTATAGAGCCAACATATAAATTAATACTTTTTTCTGTGATCTCACTAGACATCTGTATTTTAAGAGAACAGGAAAACCTGCAAAATAAAGGAAAATTGTTCAAAAACAATAGTTTAAAAAAGCATATATATATATTTGTACAGTGTACATATGATGACATTGTGTGTGCTATCCTTAGGTGTCCTTTAAGGAAGGACACTAAGAGGAGGAAAAATCCCCGAAGTGATGAGGTTGAGCCGACATTGACCCGCTCAGCAGGCTGCTTAACAGTCACCATGTTGTTGAGGGTTAAAGGATATGTTCAGGATTATGTTTTGGTGTGTCAGACTTACCAGGCAGGCTTAAGCACCGGATGATGGCTT